TGCTTCTTATTCTCACTTTTGAATGAACTTCAGCATAGTTTCCACATGTCCTCTGGTTCTTGTATCACTGTTCATTGTTAAGAAGTCCATTGCACTTATTTTGTCAATGCCTTTGAGGATTTTGTATCAGGTACCCTTGATGTTTTCTCTGTTCAAGACTGAAACAAATCAGTTCTTTCAGACTCTCAGTGTAAGGCATTTCTTTAGGTCTCAGAATGCATCTGGTAGCTCTTCTCTGAACTGATTCTAGAGTAGCAATATCTTTTTTTGTGAAATAGCAACACAAATTCAAAAAGTGTCTTAGTCCAAGGCACAATTTTAGCATAACATCACTTGATTTGGATTTTAATGACACAACTTGCTAAGGCATATATTATTGTTCTCCACTTTGTATGGATGATGAAAACAGCATGTCGACGTGTTCAAGTTTTTTTCATAAGCAGCCTCTACTAGCTCAGTGTTTCCCTATTTATATTGACAGTCTATGTTTTTACTGCTTATACAGTATGTACAAAAAATGGATTGCCTATAAATAAAGTATATGTGGATGGTTTTGTCACTCATCTTATGGGTAAGCACTACATTTCAGCCCCTGGATACTACATCTGTGTTGAGCGACTGTTGGAGGAGTTGCATCAGTGGCTTCTGAATAACCGCTCTCACTTCTTGAACACAATTGGTAAGATGCCACCAGGCTCCGGGGAGTTATTTATCCTGAGTCCTTCTAGTACCTAAAACACTTCTGCTTCCTCTATGCTAATACAGTTTAATAAAGAACTTCATTCTACTGCCTGAGGCATATTGTTGACTTCTTCCTTAGTAAAATTAATCTGTACAATGAATGAATAAGTGAAATGAATTTACACAGTACTGTAGAGTATGTATATACTGTACTGTCTACAAATTGTATGCATAACAATTATATTTCATTAAGTGATTTTTATTTAATACACCATTACAGTCCCACAAAGGAAAAGACGGGCTAAGTAGAAAAACACTACAATGTTTGCCATTTTTACAGTTCGTAGTTACCAAACAGTTTCATGTTCGCATCTGGCGACATTTTAATTGCTTATTTTTCAGGAAGGTATGAAGCACGGTTTACATCCTCACATCAAATGCTTCAGCGCTATTTATGACGAGCTTACAATCCTTAAACATCTGTTTTGCTTTAGCAATGTGCAATTCGTTTTGCAATTCAGCCACTGAATGATGCTCTGCAAATCGTCTTCTGATTTAATCTGACAGTCACGAAGGAGATATGTGGATTAGAAATTTGTGTATCGGGATCCTGAAGACGGGTCTAAGTTGATTTTATTCAGAACAGCACAGATTCAAGCAAACATCTCTTGATTGTAGGACAGTCAGCTTGTTCTGTGTGTCCAAAATATACATCTTACTCATTCTAATAACACTGTAGAGCCAGATAGAAAATATTAAAACTGGGGAATAATTAAATTTCTTAAACATTAACTTCCAAACCAAAGAAATTAATGTTTCTCAAATTTACAACACTAAATGTGTCATTAGTTTATCATTTTATTAGGGACCGCAGGCATGAAGGATCTTAAGTCCTTCTGATTTCATTGCACCCCTGATTTTAATGTAAAATGTATTGTCTTGTAGTGTCTGCAAATAAAATATTTTATTATTACTTGCTTAATTTAACTAGGTATTTGCATAAGAAGTCTTATCACCTGGTTTTAGGGCTTCATTAATTATCCATCGAAAAGCATTTCTAAAACTTCTAGGACTTTGGCCTTTGAACAAAAAGGTTGCCCATCCTTGCCCTGCAGTGATGAGAAAAGGGGCTGTACACTGCTAGAAACACAAATTACATGGAGAATACACATGTGAAATACATAGAACTGTAATGACGGCAGAGTTCGGTATGGAATGGAGCAGTTGTAGGACTCAGGAACAGGGGTTGAACAACACATTTATTAACTCGAACTGGGTTAAGGTACACATACAAGGACAGGGGTTACAGAGCTACACCTACACTAATACAGACACAGGAGGGAAGAGGCCGCCTCACCCCCTTATACAGCTCTGCCCCCTTATACAGTATACAGTCACCTCAGGCGCTGTTCCCAGCCTGCCCTGCATGCGCAAAGCAAAAGGGGACGGAGCAGTACAGTACTTTCCACATAAAAATGGTGATGTCCCTTGTAGTGAGATTAAGATGAAAGATCTTTCTCTCATATAACGTCGAATCCAAAGGTGTGCTCAAATAAAATGTCCAACCATTGTGTTACTTATTTTTCAATCTCCTTACCGCATCCTTCCCAGGACATGAAACTGAGCAGAGTTTCCATTATACGCTCCATCCCAAACTTTCTATTGTCTCATAAGGTTAATACAGCAAAGGCTTAACAGCTTAATTTAAAGCCAAGTTGCTTGGTCTGTGTATAGGTTATAACTCAAGCTGCCTTGAACAGAATTTCTACAAAGTCTTGTGATTTAAATGTTTAACAAAATTATACTCAGAAAAGCCCAATAATCCCCCTTGTCAGCCCTTTAAGCCCACATTGAGTTTAATAACTGCTGCCTTAAGTAGTGATTGCCCAAATGTTTTTTTTTCTTTGTTCCCTTTTTAAAAAAAGAAGAACAGCTTTAGCAGCTTTTGGATGAGATTTGTGAAAGCATGCAAAAGGAACACTTTCAACAAGATGGCACCTGCCCAAGCCCATTCTGCTAAGATTAAAATCCTTTCTTTCCGAATAAACAAGCAGTGCTTTAAGTGGTTAAAAGTTTGACCTATGGACTGTTGCACATTCTTTTCATTTTCAGTGCTTGCTGTGTTTTCGCTGGCCTTGCTCCAAACATTACACCTGTGTGTTAGCTTAACAATATATTGTAGTAATAAAACATGTTCTTCTTTTGTTTGACTTGGAGCTTGTGCTGAGCACATTTGAAAATACATCTGTAGTCTGATCTTCACAGCAAGGAGCATAGCACTAAATCAAATAAAAATGAAATATCAGAACCAAATATCGTGCATTAAAATATATTCTCAACGACTCGTGCTGAACAGCGCAAGCCTTTGTTTGGTGAAAAATAAACAGCGGGTAACTCGCTGAAGCCGTTCGCTTTAGTAACGGGACTCGAGCATTTCACCTTGACCCTTTCATTCCCTTGGGAACGGAACCGCCAAAATGATTCTGCTAGAAACAATGGAAATTCCTTTAAACTGTTTCTGTTGGATATCGAAGGCATTCCTGAAATGTTAAGTGAACGGTTTAGTCTTAAAGACTTGCGTGTCTGCTTTTCTAAACTGCAGAGACCCCTCCAAGCATTGAGACAGTAGTTTCTTCGATGTCTTGTGAATAGATCCACTATGTTAAAGAGAAATTAATCGTTGCACGCAAGCTCCTGTTTCCATTTGGCATTTTCATCCGCAAGTAATGTCCTATTAACGTATGTTTATAATGAATTGCTTTACTATTTGTAAACGTTTTATTTAACGAAATCATCGCAGAAGTCTGTCAGACGCGAGCCCACAGACAATGGAACTTTCAGCATTTTTTTGTTTTTATAACTGGGAGCCCTGGTTTCATATTATACTACCTTTCTATAATACACACTTTTATCTGACTTTTTGTTCTGTATCAGTGTAATGATTTCTTCATTACAGTTCTATAGTAAACATAAAGACCCAATTGAAGGAGAAATCTTGTCAATTATCATCTAGCGGCGAAGACAGCGAGTTGGGCACGGTAGCCCCTTTACCCAGATTGCCACTTGTCTAAAACCTTTCTTAAGTTATTTTTTAAACGTAAGATATGTTTTTTTTTGTGATACCTTGTGCTTCTATGCTCGTTGTAAAAGAGTATTTTTTAAATAAACAATCCGTTACAGTCATTAAAATACCTAAAAAAATGCTGTGTAACTGTATAACCAAAGTTTGGTATGAATAGATGGAAATAGTGGAATTAGTGCCAATTTAAATTGTGCACAAAGGCTTAAACACATTAAAGTATTAAATGATATAATACAAATATGAATATGTTTTTGAGTATGTTTTACAGCTCTGTAACAAAATAATGAAAAAAAAAAAGAACTTTAAGCAAGTTCAAGTAGGTACAGTAGCTGTGTCAGCATGCATAGGCTGCAAAAGAACAAGTAAAGGTTTATTCCACACTGAAAAGAAAAGAGACATTTCAGCTGTGGAGCCTTCTTCAGTTGGCTTCACATGCCTCAAAAAGGCTCCATAGCCGAAACATTGTTTAGCTTTAAGCATGTTTGTTTTGTTTTAAAAAAAGTTTGTTTTGTATTTTTCATAATTTATATTTTGTTTCACAGTAATCCAAAACTCTTTGCTCTATTTCTTTTATATTGGCATTGAACCCGCCGTGCTGGCCAAATTTCCCATTGGCCTTTAGCAATCATGGCTTCCTAATAATCCCCATCTATGAAATGGCTTCATCACTCTGTTCTGCTCCCCACTGATAGCTGATGTGTGGTGAACGTACTGGTGCACTATGGCTGCTATCGCATTATCCAGGTGGGGCTGCACATTGGTGGTGGTGGAGGGGAGTCCCCATTACCTGTAAAGCACTTTGAGTGGGGTGTCCAGAAAACTGCTATATAAGTGTAAGCAATTAATTGAAGAACTATGACTAGTGACTAAATTGATCATATACAAATCTTGACTGATGAGCTGAGGGACTGCTCCAGTATTTCTCTGAGCTCCTTACAGAAGTGTATAAATAAATCTGAAAATCTAAACTATGGTTTGTCATAGATCATGTCCGTGAGAGACAGTCTCTCTGCTTCAGACTCTAGGTTGTTTTCAGGTTACTTAGAAAGCATCAAATATACATATACATACATGTAAAGCGTTTTGGGATGAAAAGCGTTATATAAATCAAATGTATTATTTATATTTAAAAATATTACTATAGAACATTACTCAATTTGCCCAGTAATTCATTTCGCGCTATCCTTTATAAATTCGAAAGTAAATAAACTGAATTCCAACCTTGTTAAAATATTACATTTAAAGCATTTCGACATGCATATACTGTATTAACAGTATTAGTTAATTCTAGAGCGAAAGAAGATGAAGAATGATTTTGTTTTAATAGGAACGTTATCACTGCAACGCTAGTTGTTCAGTCGGAGGTATTTAGTTGTCGTAGCGCTTTTTTCTCTTGCGGTTTGCAGATTTAATTCCTGCAAGGTGATGGAGAATATTTTAAGCCGAGTTCTTGTTAAATATCGTTTTTAACTTCTGCGTAGTACCATCGAATGCTACATATTTTTATTTGAACTTAATAAAGTCGCTGACATTTTGAGACAACAAGGATGAAAATAGTATGCATAAAGTATCATCAGTTTCTGTCCTATTTTTAATTTTTAATTTAATGTATTATAATATTAAAGTGTAGCAGACATAGTGTTTACTGTGAGGACAATTAGTGCATTTTGTATTTACATAGTACTTTGCGTTTGCATAAAACTTTTGTATAATTCTTCTTTTTCGCCCTCTCTGAAAATTAGGTAACTGAACTGGAAATGATCTTGATACGTGAATCATCGGCTGAGTAGACTATGGACTCTGCACCAAACACCACGTTTAAGACACCTCAATGTTTTGCTCCAGTCTTGTTCGGAAAACAAATACATCGATTTTTTGGAAAACCGGAACCGCTAAGAACTGCCAACAACGAAAAGGTAAATAGTTATAGTAGATTCATTGATTTTATTATTGAAATCATTTATTGTACTGTATTCGTATGGGCCTTCTTTTCGTACGGGTGGACCATCACGTTTTCTTTTAAAATGAGTGAGAACATGACATTTCAGCTCAGGCATTTGGGTTAGCCATGGTGTCAGAAACACACATTCTAGTGATCAACTTGAGACGGGCGTAGTCTTCTCATTAGAAAACAGATCAGACATCAGTGAAGTGCAGGGGTGCGGTGTTTCCTATCCATTATGTGTGAATCAATGACTTTAACCTTTTCTTACTTTAGTTTTTATTTCATGCGATTGTTTTATTGTGTCCGATTTTCAGTGTTAACCTTATTTCTCCCCTGAAACCTTGTTATGGGCCTGCTGTAGCACACTTTGTCATCACTTTGCATGCCTCTAATGGCTAAAGCTATCATGAGTAAAACATTCTGTCTGTAGACCTAGTATTGATGCTGTTTTAACTCTTTGTATATTTTCACTTCTGTTGAACCCAGATAGGGTAGGTGTGCTGAATGGCCTCAATTTTGGAACCTTTCTCATGTACTCATGAAACCTCCCTTAAACATCTGTGCATTGCAGTTCCAGTGCCTGATGAAACTTAAGCCTCAAGAGAGTCTAAGTACTGTATCCCTTTCTACAAAAGAACCAAAGAAATAGTGGCTTTCATGAGAATGTAAGTTTACACATAAGAGGACACAATCTAGTTCATTAATTGATGTGAAGATCTCACTAATTCGTTCCAGACTCTCACTTCTCATTGTGTAATGAAGTATCTCTGGTTCTTGGTTTAAATGAACTTCTTAATTTTCATTAATGTCTTCTGGAGTCTGATAATGTATCTGGCTACTTTTCTCTGGACTGGTTTCAGAGTAACTATTTCTTGCCCTATGGTGGTCAAAGGTGTACACAGTATTCTAAATGTTCACTTGTGCTTGTCTACATTAAAATGCCAACTTTCACAGTCTCGAGTAGATCTTAATATACCACATCATATTCTCCATGTTTGTTCGAACAACTCCAATAGTAAGAACATAAGAGTGTTCACAAACATGAGGAGGCCATTCAACTCATCTAGTTAGTATTCAGTTGATATTCTGTTAGTTAGTATTCAATTGAACTGAGATCCCATCCAGCTTTTTCTTGAAACAAGGCAGGGTTACAGCTTTAACAACTGGGTTGGGTAGCTTGTTCCATACTCCTAAAATCCTTTGGGTAAAGAAGAGCCTCTTTCCAGGACCTACCCCTGCTAAATGCATGTTGACTATCCCCAAGGCTCTTAGTGCCATACAGATGAACCTCTGTGTTATCCTTTCCCAGACTTAACATGGAGAAGTAAGATCTATCGGTCAATTAATTGATTGGGCTTTGTTAGGCTTTACATGGACACACTTTACATTAGCAATGTTCCAATCAATGGGTATTACCATCTCTCTTGAGTGATTGTTCAAAAGATTCTTCTCTTATTCTGTGTTTTTTTAAGATGAATCACTAGAATACCATAAGGCACTGGAGATTAATCTTCTAGTACCTGTAACGTCTCTGCTTCTTCAATACCAATATTATTTAATGTATCACTTTGTTTTTCAGTATCCTGAAGTATAGTCAATAGCCTGAGTATTTCTTCCTTTATAAAATCCTAAGAGATCGTCTTATTAAAAAAAAAAGTATTTTGTTGTATGTTTGTAACAGATATTAACTACATGAAGTCTGCAGCCCAAACATTATATAATCATCTTTGATGGTTTCCCAAGCCTTTCCTGTGGCCACTTTGAGTTTTGTGTAGTTCAGACTTTTATTTTTTACTCAGCATGTAAAACGCATGCTCACTGGGATTTAAATTTCGATTGACTGGGCCGGTTCACGGTGATGCATTGCTGCCTTGTAGCACTGGAGCCCTGGATTCAGTTCCTGGGGTGCTGTCTTTGTGAAATTTGTTCCCTGTGTTCACGTGGATTTCCTCTGGGTGCTCCGGTTTCCTCCCACAGTCCAAAGACGGTAGTTTAATTGACTTTTGGGAAAATTGGCCCTGGTTTGAGTATGTGGGTGTTTGTGCATGTGTATATTCTGCGATGCACTGGCATCCTGTCAAGGGTGTATCCTGCCTTGAGCCTGTTACTTGCTGGGAAAGCATAGAAAATGTATGGATGGAGGGACCAGTTCAGTATTTTTACTTTTTTTCTCCTGATGATCTCTTTTGTTACATGGTTTGGGTTACTGTCATGCTGCATGGATAATTGTAGCCCAAAAAGAACAGAAACAGGCTACATAAACAGGCCAAGTGTTACTTTAAATTTAAGAGTTCTGCTGCCATCATTAGTTACATCATCAACAAAGATACATGATCCAGTTCCAGGCCATGCTTTGAACATGAGGGGTGGTTTTAGAGTGTCTGCAGTTCCTTTCTTACTACTTTAACCTTTGTTAAAGATTTAACTTGGTCTCGTCTGTCCATATACTTTGTTTCAAATGTCATGGCCTGGAACTGACTCATATTTTCATGTGACTTTGCATATGCTTCCCATGTCTGTGTTGGTTTTCTCTAGTTGCTCTGTTTTCCATCCACCTCCTCAAGATATGCTGGCTAGGATAATTGGTGTCTCTAAATGCTGCACTGCTGTGGAATGATGTGCAGTCCAGGGTGATTCTCAAGGCTTATCCTTGCTTGGCATCCTGCACTTCTGGGACAGATTGTGGGTTATTGCGACCTTATCAATAATAAGCATTTTTTTTGATAACCCGTGAAAAACTATTCTGTTCCACTTGTTTTTCACTTATAGCCATATGGTTGTCATCAGCTTTGTAGGTTCCATGTAGTTTTTAGAAGGAGGTCTGTCTCTTCTGCATGATAAAGATACAGGTTAGGAACATAAGAATGTATGCAAATTGAGAGGAAGCCATTCAGCCAGTCTTGCTCATTCTGTAGTTTTACTACCCGAGTGACCCTAAAATTGTATCCAGCTGTTTTGTGAATGAACCCAAAGTTAGGTCCTCAATCATTTCGCAGGCAAACATTTTCCATATACGCACAGCTCTTTGTGTGGAGATGTTTCCTATTCTTCATTCTAAGTGAATTTCCTTTTAAGTTTCCATTTGTGACCCCAAGTTGATATTTTACTACTGAGTCTATCATGGGATAACCCTATCTATACCCCTGGGATATTTTCTATACTTGGATGAAATCTCCTTTCAATCTTCTTTGTTGTAGACTGAAGAAATGTGACTCCCTTAACCTGTCTGTAAACGGCAATCTCCTGACTCCAGCAGTCATTTATATTTCTGTTCTTAAACTGTTTCTAAGTCTTTAGTATTATTTTTGTGGTGGTGAACATATGTAAAGTTGTTTACAGAATTCTAAATGAGATCTTACTACTTCATTGTGAATCTTTAGCATAATTTGCCTGTATTTTAATTCCTTTTTTTTTCTATGTAAACCCAAGCATTGTATTTCCTTTTTTATTTGTGTCCTCAGTTTGCTGTGATGAGTGCAAAAAATAATAGACATAATTACCTAGATTGCTTTCATGTATAGTTTCCTGAAATTCAGACACATCCATTTATCATGGATAATGTATGTTTCTACTTACTGTGTAGATCACATTGCACCCATCAAGGTTAAAGTTCATTTGCCAAATATCTACCCAGTTCATGAATCTATATACATCTTTTTGTAGTTCTCTTTTCTTTGTATTTGCCATCTTTACTATTTTTTCATGACTTACAAATTTAACTAGTTTGCTGACTACTGTATGCTAGAATCTTCATTATTGATACAGATCTAGGAAGAACATAGGGCCTAAACCAAATTTATGTGGCACACAAATGTGAGCATCTGCCCACTTAGAGGTCGTTGCCCCTTAAGACTTCTCACTGTCCTACAGTATGTTCATTGTCCAGCTTTCAATCCATTTCCCTACATGTGCATACATATTGCTTCTGTCTGTAATAGTTATTTTGTTTTGTTTTTTTGTTTAGCACCTATAATGGGATCACCTAGCAGAAAAGAAAAGTCTGAAAGACATAAAGAATGCATCTACTGCTGCAGAGCAGCAACAGAGGTTCTGAAGTTTGGGCCACGGGAACTGAAACCAACCAAGAAAAGTGAAAACACTCCTGAAGTTCTTTTTCTGGTTATTCCAGGTATTGTGCATTACTTGAAATTTACTGCTGTATTTTAAAAGGTTGGTGGCTGAGTTTTCACATTAATTTCTCAGTTCTTGTTGTCATACAGTAACGTGATTGTTTCTGCTTTTTTAGAGAACAACTCAGTGTTTAAATAAGATTGACTATACAGTATTTCTAAAGAACATTAATCAAGTTTGAATGACTGGTGTTCATATGTAGCATGACTAACTTGCTCGGTTTGAGCTGATAATATTGTGGGGCAACTTCTTAATTGGTTTCAGGCCACACTTAACACATTTCACATGCAACCTGGAGAATACAGGGTTTTTTGGTCCACAGTTTTGCTGTATGTACTGTTGCTATGTAGATGGGAAAAAAGCAGGTGCATTTTTTAACCAAAGATTCCCCAAGATGTTTGGATTGCCCATTTACATTCTACTTCACAGTTCGTTTCTGTTGCTTTTTTGTTTTTGCATGGAAGTGTAGCTTTCTTTTTGATTTTTGTTCTTGAGCCACTAGGTTCCTAAATACAAATGATACTCTAATGTTTTACTTAAATTAGGCTAAAAAATACCATCACCATTCCTTAATAAATTCTATATCACAGGATAAAGCGACATGCATAATCTGGTATAACCGCTTGTGCAAATAACATTATAGGATTGCAGTTCTTCCTGACATAGTTTAAACTGGATGCTAAGAACAGAAATGTTGGTAAAGACGTTCGGTGGAAATGATGGAGGAAACCACTACGAGCTGATAAAGCCTTTCTGCAGATGCAGCGCAGTGGTCCTGTAATGTTATGTGAAATTTTGCTATATGGTTTTATCTATGTAGTTTTATTGTATTCTGTAGTGTTTATGACGGAGTTATGATATTGTTTTTTTACGTTGTCTGAGTAAAACTTTACCGATCATATTGTAACTATATAATTCTAAAAACAGTACTAAAACTGAAAAATAAAGTTGAATCTTATTGTGCTGTTGGCTGTTCACATAAAATGTTAACCAATTAGGGAAGAGCTCCATGTTCATCGAAAACAAAATGCTTCAACATTAATTTACACTCCCTCCTAACACTCTATCCTGGGTAGAGTGCCCATAGCAAAGACTAGTCAAAAACCTACAATATGAGTAGTGTAGATAAAACACAACACAAGCCGACACAACAGCTTTAATTTGTATATTTATTATACGAAGTATAATAATCCTTAGTAGAAATATTAGATTGAATGAAACAAATTGCTATTAAACATATAACATGCTGGGTAAACTTTACACCTTTTTTTTGAGAGTTTGAGTGGACAGTGCTATTCCTCTATTCCTCCTTTGTGGGAATTACCAGGGTAGGTGATTTAATAATGATTTATATTCCACACATTTAGTGTGATGAAAAAAAATGGAAGGTGGGCTCACCTAAAATATATTAGGAACCTTGGTTTTAAATTTGTAATTCTTCCAATATTTTGTGTTCTTGGTTTCTTGATCCACAGAGTTATTTATTTACGGTAGTCTGAAAATAGTATTTTTTTTTCTGTGTATAGTCTAATTAATGCAAGTCAGTTTGTGTGGTTTTACAGAAAATGAATTCGGGGAGTATTTTGACTAAATCTTCACAGGAAAGAAATCTATTCCCCAGAAAACATCTCTTCTTGTAACGTCACTTGACACTGAACTTCTGATTTATGCTGAGTTTCCAGTGCTGTGCCATAGTGCTATATATTTTAGGCTGCTACTTTCCAGGCATATTTGTTGACATTCTCTAAAGTCCTAAAAGGATTACATTAATCCCATGTTGGACAAACACTGACCGTGCCAGCAATCGAATTAATCATACCCAACAGGGCTTTTTATTTTCTCCAAACTCTTTACAGAGCCACTGTGTTCGCTGTGAGTTTTACTGTTTTTTTGTCCAGTTAGACATATTGAGTGCTGACATCTTATTACCTTAGTCATACGAACTGGTCTCTGAATGTTGAGACGAGCATTGCTTACTCCGTGCACTTTAAATGTGGATTTAAACTTGCATTCTCATAACCTCTTGCACAGCAGTATGTTATATTCTGAAATCAATCAAGTTCTACCAGCAGTGTCAATAAGAAGAGCTTTAAGAAGGGTTACAAACAAGAGGAGCCCATCTAGCCCGTTTGGTAGTAGTACATTGATCCAAGGATCTCATCCATCTTGAAAGACGTTATTGGCTTCAACAACATGGCTGGGTCGCTTGTTCCATACTCCCACTACCCTTTACCTCACAAGAGTTTTAAATGTACTTCCACAAAATTCCCACTTTTGTTCCCTGTGTTTCATTGTTCATTCCCAAGAAGTCCACTGGTTTGACAAAAAACATTTTTCTTTATAAACTTATGAAAAAGTTTATATTTGTTTCATAAATCTCCTTAATATACCCAAAATGTTTTAGTTTATATTAACATCTCTGCTAGTTACTGTAAGTCAATGTCTTTACTAGTTGAGCTGCTCAGAGTTTAAAATTATAAGAGAATTTCATGTTCATTTCTGGGCAGCGTCAGGTTGAAGTAATTGGCATTTTTTGCTTATTGATTAAATACAATGCGCATCATTGTACAGATGCAGCCACTCAGGATACTTGAGATGTCATCGCCATGCCACAAGACACATGGTGCGGTATGTTGATAGATGACGCCCAAAGCCCTTCTGTTTTTTAAAATAATCTGATGTAAGACTGAACCACTCTGTAAAACTGAATGATGGTGCAATGAATCCTTAACGTGCCATGTTTTAAATCTTATTACAAAAATTAAGAATGACTTTTAAATGTGTATAAAGCCATTAGTGCTTTCCTGTGTCAGTCTTACACTTAACTGTACAGTGACACTAACATCATTTTTTAAATGGTTACAATTTAACATAATTTAATTAAATACAGTGTACATAGTTATTTGTAATTGTTTATAAATAGAAATTAGAAAACAATTTTAATTTAGATTTTGACTGTAAAAGATATTGTACATAGTGAATATTAAAACATATCGTATTGAAAAGCAAATAAACACAAAAAAAGTTGGTAGTTACCAAAACTGACCAAATTGAAGACTTTGCTGAAGATGTGGGTTAATGTGGGTAACAATTCACATGCTTCATGGTATCACATTTTCATAAAAAAACATTTGTAAAAAGAGGTGTGGGTGTATTTTATATTATTTTAATCTAATTAATCATGGTCTGAGACATTATCATGCTTTGGTTAGTTTTTTAGCCACAAAAATTCCCATGTAGTTAAATGATTCCATATTAATATTCATATTAAGTGGATTTAAAGAAGTACAGTAGTAAAATAGATTAAATGAAGCATTCGTTTCTCTAACAGCTAACAGACTTCAAGTGCCACCTATCGATCACCTTTGGCAAGTGACTCCCACAGCTGAATTGCACCACAACACGGCGCAGTCAGTTTACCGCACCTATGTGTTTTGAGTGGGTGCTGTGTGTCTGCATCTGTATGTAGCTTGGCCATTTCCAAATTATTTAACTGCTAATGAAGGGTAGAAAAATGGTGATCTTGTAAATTCTCTTACTCTTTGATTTTGATCGTTCATCTCAGACTTCAAAGTATTAATTTAGAATCCTGTAAACCTGTTCAGTTTCCATGAGCATTGTACAGTATGAGTCCATATTAGCTCCAGACTCTCCAGTGCACTCCATATTAGACCTCCAGTGCACACCAAGTTTAAAGGCTACTTGACTTGTTTTTTTTTTGGGCAGGGATGTAACTTTTCTAACAGTGCCAGTAGAATTTTTAGTGGACTTTTCTTGACTACAGTCCAGTCTGAAACCTTGTCTTGTTGTTAAAGTCGTTAATCCTAACTAAACTGTCTTTAAGAGATGAGGTCTTATGGATATCAGATATGATGATCTTAAGGATATCAGAGAATCACCTTCCCTAAGCTCTTTCAAATGTAGACTCAAAGGCTTCTTCTTGAAAACAGCCTTAACTTAACTGGTTCTGTTATATACCCCTTCGCTCCTACCTTATTTAGTATCCCATCTACTGTCTCCTTTCATTGTGTATTTCCATTGTTTATATATGATGTATTTTTCGTTGTTCTCGTTCTGTAAAGCACTTTGAGGCACTAAGGTGCTATATAAAATAAAGTTTTATTATTGTTGTTTTGATTTTGGCACTGTTAACTGTTGGCTAAATATGAAACCTCTGCCCACCTGTGTGCAACAGTTATGGCCTATCTACAACTGTTGCCATGTAAGGAAACAGAGCAGAGACTGGTTTTCTTTCAAATGAGTGCATGAGCAGAGCATAGCAGTGTTTCAATGTAGTCAGTTCCTGCATGGCACTTGAACAGTAATTCTTCCAATGACATTCTTTAATGTTTGATGCCAAAACAGCACCCCTGTGGGATATAGTAGAAATATCAATGAGGCAGTGAGTAACCTGCTTTTTAACATTTCTGGTTGACACCTGCTAGTGTGTTTGACTTGTAATACACACACATTTTCCTCTAGTGGGAATTGCAAGTTGATGATGCGTGTGCAATGCTTAACTGCTCAATGGTGCTTTGACAACACACTGTAAGGTGTACAATCCATAAATCCAGACCTCAAAGTGCTGTAACAGTGACACTGTTGGCAGAAAACACAGACAAACTTACTTCAGGCTCTTAAGTGTAATGATATCACCAGTGTTCATGCTGCACCTTCCCATAAATTTGTCTGAATGTTTTGCTTTAACTGAGCAGGTTTTTGTGCCATCTCATTTTGTTGCTAGGGACTACAACAAAATTAGCCTTCAGTAGGTAGCAGATATAGTAAAAAAACACCTGATATATTTGAGTGCTCAATTGATCAGACTTACTTGCATCATTGCATGTGTCATGTGTGAATAGCTATTTTAGGTATTAACGTGGATATAAAATGGCCTTTTGCACCAGCTCTGGAAGACAGATCAATTAAAACAGCTCTCTGCTGTTAAGTAGCTCTGTGGTGGCCTGGTCCGCTGTGACATTGAAAGGTGCTGACTGA